TTGTGATTCATTCACAATGGACAGCTATTGTGTTGGCTGCCGTCATTTCATTTGAGAAACGAAGGGAAAAGAGGTCAGCGCCCCTAACTAAGTAGTCGAGTATTGCATGTCTTTAAAATTCTTGCGGCACACCAGCAGAAAATCGCTGCTCTGGAGTAGTAATCTTCCTGGCTCTTGGGTTTCTTTTCTTTAAGGAAAACACATCTTTACACAGATCTTCTTTCCTTAAAACCTACAAAGTGTACATGTCCATCGTCCCCATTTTTACAGGTGAGAGACGGAGTCCCTGCGAGGCTGAAAACACACCCAAGGCCATGAGGTAGGCACTGTCAGGGCTCTGCCCACACAGACTGTCTATCATAATTGTTATAATAAAGGGGCAGACCAGTAATTTGTTTAAATGTGTAATGCACAGAGTAATTCACAGAAAACTGTAATGTATTTCATTATCTTGACCATCAGCTCTCCTTCACTTCAAAGAGGCTGGACTTGTTCAGTGAAGACAAAATGTGATCTCTCTTACGACTGCATCTAATGGAAATAACTGAGAAATGTCAAGGGCTCGTGGTAGCCTCCCAGCACAGGCTTTTACTTTGATTCGCTTTTTAAAAAACAGATGTAATTTACATACCATGCTGTCCACGCTTTTAAAGTGCACAATTCAGTGGTTTTTAGTACTTTTACATTTGTGCAATCACCGCCCTTACCTAATTAAAGAACATTTTCATACTTTGATTCACTTTTGAAGCATCTTTTTTTACAGGTACAAGAGAACAACTGGATGTGTGCAATTGAGAACTCTAAGAAAGAAAGGCCTAGAGGTCTCACACCCAATGGGAGCCAGCAAGTGTAGCACTACTGCTGCAGTCATAAAAGGAACCGAATTGCAAGGAGTAAGAATATGACATAGTCACCACTGTACCCATGGTCAGGTCACAGTGGACACTTGACTTTTGTCCATTCTAAGAGCTGCTCTCTAAAAGTAAAAAGAAAAGGGTTCAAGGAGATGATTAAAGAGCTGGAAAGTAAGATTCACGATGAAAGCTTTAAAGTGCTTGCAGTAATTTAGTCTAGAAAAGTTATCTGAGAATAACCTTGCTATGAAAATATTGTTATATAGAAAATGGTGACCTTTCTTTTCTCCTTCTTTCACTGAAGAAGGAGAGTGAAAAGACAAAGAAAATGGGTTCACCCTGGCTGGTGTAGCTCAGTGGATTGAGTGTGAGCCTGAGAAACAAAGGATTGCAGTTCGATTCCCAGTCAGGGCACATGCCTGGGTTGCAGGCCAGTTCCCAGCAGGGGACACAAGAGAGGCAACCATACATTGATATTTCTCTCCCTTTCTCCTTTCCTTCCCCTCTAAACATAAATAAATAAAATTAAAAAAAAAAAGAAAATGAGTTCATTCTGCAATATGAAGGATTAGATTAGCATACAGTCATGAGACAGAGCCTGTTAAACAACAGAATGCCGTGGTAGCCAAAGTCCACTGATACTTTTTAAAACACATTTAAAAGTTGCAAAGAAGAGTATAAAGAATTCCTTTCCTCAGATTCCCCAGTATTAACATTTTACCACATTTGCTTTGTTCTCTCTCTCCATATATATATATTATCAGAATCACTGGAGTGTTATAGACATGATTCTCCCTTATTCCTAAATACTGGGTACTTCCTGAAACAAAGGACAATCTCTTGCCAAACCACAATATTATAAAAATCAGGAAATTGACACTGATACAATACTGTTATTTAATCTACAGATTTTCCTTATTTGACTTTTTCCTACTGTCCCAGTAATGTCCTTTAAAGCAAGAAAAAAAATTTTTCTTTAAAAATTTTTAAAGAAAATTCAGGATCCATGTGGCCATGTTTACTTGTGATGTCTCATAAATTCCTTTAATCTGGAATAGTTCTCAGTCTTTGCCTTTTGTGACCTTCATAGTTTTAAGAATACAGGCCAGTTATTGCACAGCCTGTTCCTCAATTTGGATCTGTTACTTAAAAAAAAAAAAAAAAAATCACATTTGTTCTGGAAGTTTTTTTTTTTTTGGGGGGGCAGTTTCCAGTGAAGACCATAGGTAGAATAAGCCTCTTTTCTCAAGGTTCCTCTCGGCCACCTCGTACTGATTATTCTTACTATATCAGAATTGCTTATGGATGGGATAGACGACACACCATTTTTGTATTCAGAACTGATCTGCTTGTACTACCTAGATTTTCTTCTTGGCATTCCTGCATCTTAATATGAGTTGAATTTCCTCAACAAAAGTAGGTTTGTCTCGAAGAATTAGCACCTACTCTTCTTAAGTATTTGAGACTTAAATTACCTGTAGACTCCCATTTTCAGAATCTCATCTTGGCAGTGACGAACTATGCGCTAAATCAGCAGAGAAACTACAAAAACGGGCGGGTGTTGTTCATTAAAATCAACAAGTATTTGTTGAGTGCCTGGCATATGTCAGGCTCTGTTCGAAGCTCCGAGAGTACTTTTGAGGCCAGAACAAAACAAAATCCTGTCCTTGTCAGCTAGATAGGCAAATTAAAATTTAAATGAGAAAAAACAGAAACCAAGGATCTGATTTCTTTCAACAGGAAGAAGGTAAACCTCGGTGAAAAGAAGCCCTGAGGTTTCATTCTAAAGTGGACAACCCTGCGGAATCCCTGGCAAGTGAGCTGATAAGTTCCCAGTTTCCCCAAATGAGCTTTACAAATGATTAATCCGAGCACCAAAGGCCTGCCTGGAGCGGTGGGGCCAGACTTCCTAAGCTTTCTTATCACTTTCTCAGCCTAGCTTTGCAGGACCTCCCGGCCGCGCCCAGCCGGCCCTTAGAACCGGTCCGCACCCTCCACCAGCCGGCACTTCCCGGCCCGGCAGGGCCGAGCACCTGGGAACCAGGCAGGGAGAAAGCCTGGCAGGGAGGTGGCTCCGGGGAACCGGCTCCTCCGGGCGGCCTCGCCCGCTGCAGTGCAATCCGGGGGTGGGGGGTGGGGTGGTTCCAGGTCGCTCCCGCTCGCTCCGCACCCAGTCCCACCCCCGCGGAGCCTGCGGGCCTCGGAGGGCGGCTTCGGGGTCCGGGGACGAGGGGCGGCGAGGCCACCACTGGGAGCCAGCCTAGGACTGACTTCAGGGACCCTTTCCGACCCCTCACCGTGCAGCCTGGGAGACGGCAGCGCGCCGCTGGAACCCGAACTGCAGGAGAGGGTGGCGCCGGGTGCCCTCGCCCGCCCTCGCGGCGCTGCCTGACCCCGGCGGCGGCGGGTCTCCACCCGCACTCCGGGTCGCCAGCTGCTACCTGCGCCGCAGGCGGCGGTGTGGCCGACCGCAGAGCTGCGGGCGGGTCAGGCGGCGGCCGGGTCGGGCTCTCTACCCCCCGCCCCCCGCACTGAGCTGCAGCCCCCTCTCCACTCTGACCGCGCTTCCTCCGGGTCGACAAAGCGCGGTCTCGTTTCCCTTCACTTGCGTCCTAAAAGGTTCTCATTTTTATGCCCAGAGTGGGTTGCTTTAGTGATATCTTATGTTTCTCCCTCTCTCGCTGCCCCCATCTCCCATTCTCTTTCTCTAAGATTAATAAACTAAGGAAATTCCAAAGTAAAAATAAATTGCCTGACTTTCATGTCATGAATATAAAGGGATGGACACCTGGAGTCGAAATAGTAATACTTCAGACGGAATTGTTTCCCAAGAATAGGTCAGTTTGAAACACAAAACTCAAGGAAACTTCTTTAGCAGTTTTCCTTCTAAAATGTCAACAGGACCCACCACATTGCCGTCCAATTTGTTGGCGGTGGTGGGCGCCCGGCCTCTGGGCAGACGTAGCCCAGTTAGACTGAGGGACACTGCTCGGACACTTGGCCAAACCGACGGCAGTAAAAAGGCAAAGGTATGAGTAGAGGGCGTGGAGTAAGAGCGGGGAACTGACGAAAAGCTGGCTCTAGAGCACCGAATTCACGAAAACATTCTGCACTCCAGGTAGCTGCATTTTATTTAGGATCCAGGGCAAATCAGAGAAAGTGGGCCCCGGCCCTGGAGGAGGTCCGGTCTCGAACTAGCAGCCAGGACCGAACAAGACGTAGCAATTAAGGGAGCAGCCGAGAGAAAACGTTGTGGGGTCCACTGTGTCTGGATTTCCTGCCGGGGCCCCCTGCTGCCTTGGCGCGCAGTGACTGTTTCTGCGAGCGCGCTGGGAGACTGGACGTCCAGCCAGGAGCCGGGTTCTGCGGGGCTCGAGGGCTTCGCTTCCGAAGGGGGGAAGCGCTTCGGGGTGTGGAGGGGCAGGCACCTGGGCTCCAGCAGGAGGCGGGACGGGGGGGGGGGGCAAATGGACCACAGGTCCAGCTGTTTGCACTTAAAGGTGCGCTGGGCTCGGGAGCAGCTTTTCCGGTGCCTGGCAATTGCCCCGCCACCTCCCGGCTGCAGCAGGCTGTCCCTCCCTCCGCTGTTCGCCCTCTCGGGGCGCCGCGCCCTGGGAAGCTCCGCACCCAGGGCCTCACCTCTGTCCTCCTTTCGTCTCCCCGCGCCAGGCCTTTTCGCTCGGCCCTTTAGAACCTCCGGCTTCGTTCCCCACAGCCTGCATTTCTCCTAGACCCCCAAATACACCGTTACTTCCAAAGGCGTGAACCCCCTACCCCTGCCCCGCACCCCTCACCTCTCACCCTTCCCGGTCTGGCCTTGGCTACCCTCTAGGTACAGACTGCCTCCTCCTTGCCCAGTGAGTCTCCCCCCTCCTCCCTTCCCGCCCGCCCCTCTCCATTCATCCAGCCATTGTCTCCCGCCCCCTCCTCCTTCTTTCCCCAGGTGGCCTCCTCCCCCACCGCTGCCACGTCGTGGTTTAAAGGAGCCAATGGGCCGGCGCCGCCAGGTGTCTCTTACCTGCACCACGTGGGGGAGGGGGAAGGGGCGGGCAGGTAGAGCCACATCCCAAAACAGAAAAGCTTTCAGCCATTGCGCGCGCCTCCGGGGGGTGCAGCCCTGCTCCAGTCTTTTTGCATAGAAGCTAGGGCCATTGAATAGAAAAAGGGCAGGTCTGCTGCGCCCTCCTTCCCACCCCCCTTCCCGCCCAGGGTGTGGAGCACTGGCCAGGTGTCGGCTTGGGTGGTTGGTTACCGCCTTTTGCACCAGCAGCGGCGAGGAGGAGGAGGGGGGGTGGGCGCTCTTTCCTTTTCTTTTAGGAGAGGTTTTAGCACAGGTTTTCTCTTCTCACTTCCACTCCACCTCACCGCCTCCCGACCCCCCTTTTCCCCCTCCCCACCTATCGTCATGACGGCGTCTCCGGATTACTTGGTGGTGCTTTTTGGAATCACTGCTGGGGCCACTGGGGCCAAGCTGGGCTCGGATGAGAAAGAGCTGATCCTGCTGTTATGGAAAGTCGTGGATCTGGCCAACAAGAAGGTATTTCTCCACATTTCTGCCCAAATGATAGGGGTAGGACCAGAAGTTTGTTGTAGAAGTTGGCGGCGGGGGGGGTCGGTAAACAAGTGCTCTAGTTTCTTCACTTGTGAGGGGAGACCTGGGGCCTAGGGATTCCGGAGTAAAACCAGGCTCGTTGGCCAACAGCCGTGGAGCCATTTCAGCCCTCCCAAATCTGGCTCAGGTGGGCCGGCCGGCGCCGCCGAGCCAGGCTCTCGGCTAGTCTGGGGACGCCCCGCGGAGACGGGCTGGAATCCTTGGGGCCCCTGTGTCAGCTTCCAGGACTTTTACGTCCTGATCCTGGTGGGGGTGGGGTCGGAGGCAGGGCCGCGCGGTCCTCTGCGCCCGAATCGCTGGCGACGAGAGAGCTTTGATTTTCTGCGACCAGACCCCTCCGGAGGCGTGGGCCGCCCCAGTAGGGCAGCGAGGGAGGAGGGCGTGAAAGAGGCCCCCGCACTGAGGAAGGGGGAGACTGACTCCTGTGTCTTCCCGTCGGAGGTGGGACAGTTGCACGAAGTACTAGTTAGACCGGATCAGTTGGAGCTGACGGAAGATTGTAAAGAAGAAACTAAGATCGACGCCGAAAAGCTGTCCTCGGCGCCGCAGCTGGACCAAGCACTGCGACAGGTGACAGCCAGGGCCGCGCCGCCCTCCCCTAGCCGGGCCACCGTGGCGTCCCCCGCGGTGGGCCAAGCCTTACCAGTCCCCAGGCCATCGCCCCGCCGTCCACGTGCGTTCCCCGGGTGGGGGGCGAGGCGCCGGGCAGCGCGGGCGGAAACCCAGCTCCGAGGCCCGGGTCGGACCTTTTGGGAGGAGGTCACTTTTTCTCTTCATCTCCCAAACCCCAGGGTCTGGGACCAAAATTCTCTAGTTTTCGAGTTGCTTCCTGAGTCATTCCCTGGGCCAGAGAACCAGCCGGGTTTTTACCAACTGAGGGATGAGTGGAGTTTGAATCCTAGCGCCCCCGCGCCCCGCCGCACACCGCAGCTGCGCGTGCACCGGGCGGGGGTTTCGGTGCGTGGCTCAGCCCCGGGGCAGGGGGCGCTCGGGCGTAGACCGCGCACTGGGCACCGCGCGCCTGGTTTCAGGATTCTGAACTCGCAAAGGCTCGGTTCTGGTACCAATTTTGCTTCTTTAAGTGACCTTGGTCTTAGCTCCCGGGAGGGTTTGCAGCCCCAGACAGAGTTGCTCGTGGGGTCCCTGTGAAAATGGTGGAACCCTCTTTTTGGAACTGAGGTGACCTAAAACCCAGCATCTTCGGGGTGCTGACCAAATGGGAGTTAGGAGGAGGCGCTAAACACCTGTGCACAGGTGCGTGTCCGGCGCTCTCACCGCCCCTGCCCTAGCACACGAGTTGCGAATTATAGGGTAAAGTCATAATTTGAGATGTGTTTCAGGAAACGTGTTACCGGGCTTTCCAGAGTATCTGTATACCCATTACCCACGCTGCCCAACTGGCTTCTTTCTTAAGCCTACAACAAAAAGTAACACCGGGGAATGATGTAATCTAAGGGCAATCTGCTGATGAAACGAGACCTTTGATTTAAAAGTCTTGTATTTTTCGCAGAAATAGAAGGGGATAGGAACGGACGTTAGAATGTGTTTTTCTGAGTTCTCCCGTGCTTAACTGCGCGTCGATTGGAAAGCCTTCCCTATTTTAAAGGAAGCTTAGACCGTTTGCAGGAGGCTGGTCTTTCTAATTATGTTGCTTCTAGCGCCTGTTCCCTTTTCATTGTACTTTTGCTCGGTTTTCTCTGGTTACCACCAAGTGGGGCCGCTTTGCAGAGTTTGTAAATCCTGCGTCAGTTGCATCCCGTGTCTTGTTCTTTTCAGTTTAACCAGTCAGTGAGCAATGAACTGAATATTGGCGTAGGAACTTCTTTCTGTCTCTGTACTGATGGGCAGCTTCATGTCAGGCAAATCCTGCATCCCGAGGCTTCCAAGAAGGTAAGAGTGCTGGCTTCCCAAAAGCGATTGGATCTTTGGGGTGACTGGAGGCTTTTTTAAAAAATGGCTTATGTAAGTTTCTCGATTTTAAATAGATGCGAATGGGGAGTTATTGTTTCGTGGGTACAGACTTTCAGTTTGAGAAGATGACAAAGGGGTAGTACTGATGGTTGTGCAACAATACGAAGTATACTTAGTGCCACAGAGCTGTACACTTAAATTGTTAAAGTGTTAAATATTGTGTCACGTATATTTTACCACAATACAAAATTCATGACACTTTCATAGAGATGTTTGAGATTGCATTAATTTTGAAATAACTCTTTGGTGACTTAATGAAAGTTTTCTTTTTGTTTATGTTGCATTTGAAATGCTTGACATTCTCTTTTCCAAAGCATATTAGCTGAATTCTTTACACTAAAAATAACTACAAATAGCAGAGAACTGTATTTTAATATCCTATAATATTCCTACTGTATGGAAAATCCTTTATCCCAGAAAGGAAGGAGCAAAGAAGAAAAGTTCAATTAAACCTTTTAAATTGTAATTCTAATAATTTCGTTTAAAAGTTTGTGCTGGGAAAGTAAGACTTTGCTGCATAACCAGTGAAACATTAATTATAGTGCACTGTGCTTTGTCTGACTTAAAGTAAATGTTTCAAAACTAATTGAATCCTGTATCAAAACAACAGGGTCAGCCCCATCTTTTACCTTTTCTTATCTTTTTGGTAGTAGAAAACAGTGTGGAGTGAGAAAAATACAATCTTACTGTAGATACACCAGGATTTCTCTCCCTGGGAAGGATGAGGAGCTGTGGAAAAATGGAGAGATGGATCACAAACCTAGTGCAGCCAATCACTGCTAATACAGTTCATTTGATCAACCTAATTAGTTTGAGCTATAACTTGAAAGGGTGGAAGCAAAATATTTCTAGGGAAACTGTATGAAGTAGTTCTTGCAGTGAAAGGTTTAGAATGACAGTTGATGTCACAAGTGAGTAGCCATTGAGATCTTTCTCTTTACTCCAGTACGTAAAGGGGAAGAAATAAAGTAAATGTATAATGATAATGTAAATGTTTGAAGGAGAAACTCAAGTTCCTGTATCTTGAGGGTTGAAAAAATATCATTCCCTCTGTAGGAACCTTAGTAATTATTTGATTAAAAGGGGGGGGGAGTATTTTTTGTTAATTCAATGCTTGGCCAATTGCTAGGTATGCTTGCTTGATCCTGAAATATACATATGAGGATTTCGCCCCCCACCCCCAAACTCATAGGAGAGATAAGACTTAATTCTTTATCTATTGAGCTGAGGGAAAACAGCTGGTTTTGCTATTTTAGATGGGCTGCCTTGCATATGGAAAAAACTCCAGAGAAAAATTTGAGACATTTTCCTGAGTCATTTATATTAGGATTTTGATGAGGAAAAGGGAAACAATTGATTTAGTATCATAAAAAATAAACTAAATTTAGTATTATAATAAAAGCAACTCTATTTATGAAGGTAACCTAGAGAAAATGGTAAAACAAAAGTAACGCTGCCACTCAAAAAATAAGAAAGTGTTTTTTTCCTCATGAACATATTTGAATATCTTCTTTTAGATTTTTGTACAAAAGCTTTATTTTTACAAGGAGCATTCACACAACACAAACCTTTTAGCCTACTTAATAGTCCACTGTTACATCAGTATCTTCTGTAAGCACTAACTAAAATACTCAGTATTTTAAATGGATACAGCTATTTCAACCAATCTTTTATTGTTGAACATGTGGGTGAATGTCATTATAAATAGCTTTCAAATTAACATGTTTGTCAGTAATCGTGAGGATGCACGATTCTTTCGGTAACTGTTTTGAAAACTGACTGGTGAAGTAATACCTGTTTTCAATGTAGCATGAACAGGTTACATCTAACAGAACACAGCAAAGGAAATTTAGATACAGACATTATTGCCTCAAAGGTTGTGGATTACAAACTTTATAAAGTCTTTATTTCCTTGACTTTCTAAGGTACAAATGAGTAGGAATTCCCAGTAAGTGAATACGATAGAAGATTTTGAAATTTTAAGAATCAATACAGTTCTAAAAAAGTCTTTGGAAATTATTCAGTGAGAGGTTTTTTTATCCATGAGGGGAAAAAAGAAACAATAGTTTAATATTTGCCCAGTTGCGTTGTTTAATCACTGTAAGAGAGTGGTGCTAGTAGCTCAGAACAACAGGTAACTATTTTTCCTTTGCCTTTGAGATTTTTGAGAGTTTTTTTTAAGTCTAACTTGACTGCTAAGGTATAGCCAGAGTAATGGTCAGAAAAAGTAAAATAGGACTCTAATTTGGCCCCAAAATAAATCCTTTTCAGGTAACAAGGAATTCCTTATCCTAATCTGATTTTAGTATAGGAAATATGCATTATTAGAACCCAGCATTTAAAACTACTGTGTCTTAGAGCAGAATCCTGTGTTTAGGTAGACATGGTAAAGGTGCGCATATGAGAACTGAGAGTTGATTTGCTGCCCAAAAGTACAGGTAGTCTAGAATGATGACAGCTAGAAAGAGAGCATACTTTCATTAAGCAGAAAATATAAAATACAGCAGCCAAATGTATTACAGCTTCAGAAAACTTTTTAATGGACTGTATAGTGGAACACAAACATTTTAATCAATTGCCTTAACATTGATGAGTCTTTTCCAATGAGACTTACATGTAAGATATAATACTGTAGCAGATAATAAAAACACCCTCATGTTCTATTAAAAAACATTTAAATATTGTGGTAAAATATATTTTTCTTAGATTCCTAATTATTAGGGAAACGGTTGACTCAGTTCATCTAGTTAACAATGTATACCTTGTCCTCCCTCAGAATGTATTATTGCCTGAATGCTTCTATTCCTTTTTTGATCTTCGAAAAGAATTCAAGAAGTGTTGCCCTGGTTCACCTGATATTGATAAACTGGATGTTGCAGCAATGGCAGAGTGTATCCTTTAAGTGATTACCCAAGAGACATTTGAAAAGATAGCTGCAGAGAAATGGGCAATTCAAGAAAGATTTTTGACTTTATCAGTGTGTGGATGACAGTAGCCTGTCTAAAACTTGTGTATGTGCTGTGAAGAACTAACAGTACAGTTATGGGGGGGGAGGTTGAAGGGGGGGTAGGAAGAGGTGGGAAAAAACATCTGTCTGTTACCTCTCTCATGTCCCCAACTTGGGACCTGGCTTGCAACCCAGGCCTGTGCCCTGACTGGGAATCAAACTGCACCCTTTTGGTTTGCTGGACAATGCCCAGCCCACTGAGCCACACCAATCAGGGACAATTATAGGCATCTTTTAAAGTAGTTACTAATTTGCTGAATTTCAATAGTAATTTAGGTAGATGAATTTTTGTGAGTTGAATAGATCTAGAGTAGAGTTTAATTTTGTATTAAGGGAGTAGCTTGGGGGTTTTGTGTGTGCGTGTGTGGGGGGGGGTTTGTTGTTATTGAGGAATGTGAAGACTAATTTCTTTGATACTGATTCCAGGGCCACTTGTTCTTGATATCTTGGTTTTAGGGTTTATTTTGGCTTTTGAATGGGTAAGAATTTATGGGTTTTTTTTTTTTTTAAGTAGTGGGTATATTCTCTTTACAAACAGCTGTCCATTGGTAATCCTTTTAACTTTCCATGGGATTGTGGAATATATATAAGATTGTAGTGATTACAATAGGCCATTGTTTGAAATAAAGTGAGGTTAGGATTTTACCCCCCAATTTTTTTTTACCAAGATAGTAGTATATCTAATGCATTGTGTATTTAAAAGTAAATTTAGTGATCACAAATCCTGTAGTCATGAATGGCCCATCATTTTTCATCCAGTGAGTCTTTAAAGTACTAATTAATAAGCAGTCATGTGCTAACGAATCAGATGGAATACTGAGTAATAGCAGGGGTAGGTGACTCACCTAGAGCCACTGTGAGAATCGACTTGAAGTTGGATTGGAGTCCCTTTCAGGAACTTGTGGATAATGGATGTTTATTCTTAAACTTTCTCATTCTTTTTCAGGAGTGAAAGCCTGGTTTTTGTTTTATTTCAAAATTTCTCGATTGAAAAAAGTTGCTTGCATATTTTTCCTAACCACCTGTAAGCAGGTCAGACCCATCTGATTTACCTTCTTATGGGAAGCAGTTAGCTGCAATTTTGGATTAGCTGGTTTAGCTACTGGTTAGTTACTAGTTTAGCTGCCAGTAGCGCTGGGAGAAGGGTACAGGAAGCACATTTTGAGGGAATTCTTGTAAGAGTTTCATTAGGAGGTTTGGGACAACACAAAAATTCTTTTTGTTTTGTTGGTTTGAATGCTGTATTAATTAATTAGCTCAGGCTGCCCTAACACGTACCATAGACTGAGTGACTTAAAGAACACACTTATTATTTTCTCACAGTTTTGGAATCTGGGAAGTCTAAGATCAGGATGGCGGCATGGTCATTTTCTGGGGAGGGCTCTTCCTACCTCCTCACTGTGTTTCCAATGGGTCGGGGGAGAAGTGGAGGAAATATCTTTTCCCCTCTATATCCACAGTCCGAACAAATTACGGCCCCTTCCTTATGGCCTTAACTGCCTCCTGAATACTGTCTCCAGATATAGTCACACTAGAGGTTAGAGTTTCAACATATGAATTTGTGGGAGGGATGCAGTTCAGTCGGTAACAAATACTAAACTGTTTGCTGCAGTGGTACAAAATAGAGAACCAACAATTCTAAAAAAATGAATCAGTGGATAGTGGAGGGAAACCCTAGTAAGTTATCTTAATTTATAAAAAGACAATTTGCATGGTCAAGTCAATATTTTAAGAATTGTTTATCCCTGACTATTCAGCTTCCTCTTATAGTAAAGAAAGTTTTTTCCTGGTGATTACAGGTCAGATAGTAGTAAAAACTTCCATAGCTACAAACAAAAGATTTTGATAGTTAGGTATTTTGGTTTTCTCAATATGTTGACAGTTCAGGGAAAACTCATTAAAAGTTCATCTACTTTTCCCTTCTTGGTTTCTGAAGAGTATTACATGTGTTAGAATTTGGGTTATTATTAAACATTTTTGAGATGGTAAATTGGGCTTTTCACTTGCTCTATGCTGTATTATCCACACAGCCCAGAGCATGTTACTTTTGGAAATAAAAAATTGCATGATCTGACCTTTAAATGAAAGGACAGGATGCTAGACCAATTATTTCTTGTCATTCCTTTTAATCCTCGTTCTATAACTATTTGTTGGCAGTTCTGATTCAAATGTCATGGAGATGAAAATCAAATATAACAGATGAATTGTGAATAAAGCTAAGTCAGGCTCCATTTCAGGTCTGTCACCCCTGAAATTTTATGAAGGATATCATGGTAGCTCTTAAGTAATACAGTTCATTGAAGAATTAGGCAATTGTATATTTTTTTAAAAAATAGCTTAATTAAAGCCTAGTTTCTTTCTGGCTTACTTAAGAAGAGTCTTAGGTTTATAGTTTTATTGTTAATCAAGAAGTGGGTTTTAATCTTAAATGGTTTTATTAATGTTTCTTTGTGTGTTTTCTTTCCCATTCAGCAGGTAAGGAATATTATTAAGCTTTCCTAACAGTGGTTTTTGTTTTATATTGCTACTGTGATCAGTTGTTTTATGACTCCTATTCAGAGGAATCGCTATTTCCTTGAGTGGGCCACCAAACCAATTCCTCAGGTCAAAAGCAATTATACCCGATTGGATTACCAACTTATCTATGCAAAGGCTTTCTCCAGTGTCTGATGCGAAGAGCTGTCCTGTTCTTTAGACCCCTGAACATCTTCCTTTGTAATATGGAATTGGCACTAGATTGGAGAACATAAAGATGATCATTACACATCCTTGGTGGCTTTGCCAAGTAGGAGGAGAGTCGCTCGCTCCTGAGGGGACTACCTGTTCTGCTAGGCAAACCAGCAGGGCGAGGAGGCTCTTGCCAACTCCTGGAAAAAGGGCCAAGCAAGAAAGCAGGCAGCTGTGCTCTCCTAGGAAAGTCACTTGTCTTCTCCACACCTCAGTTTTATCTCTGGTTTTCCCAAATGAAAACTTCGTATCAGGTGCTGTGGAACCAAGAAGTGTGGTGATTTTGATTTAAAAAATGGGTTTTAGAAATTTTGTTATTTTAGCACTTATTTCCCCCTGTGGTCATCGTGCTGGTTCTAAAACCCCGTGGAGTCAGCGCTGGGCCTGAGTTACGCCAGGGTCTGTGCTGTCCCCTGCTTTTTGAGTTGTGCAGTCCCGGCTGGAAGAAGACCTGGGTCAGTGGGTGAGCTGTGGGTGGTGTTTTGCAAGCTCTTTACTCAATCGGGTGAGGTGGCTTGGGGCCCTGTGATTTGTTGTTGTTTTGAGGAAGATGTTGTCTTGGATCCCTTGTAGAAATTATACTCATTGTCTCCTGATGAGAGGACATTTTGATTATGGGACTATTTATATAAATGAGTTTACCAGTTTTTGAATAGAGTATGTGATCCTGTTTTATCCCTCTCAAGTTGGATGGAATTAGTTTCTTCTGGTTTCTTGACCTGTTTTCGTAAGCTTTGTTATTTTGTGAACTGATTTGTTCTTGTTAATAAGTCAGGGTCTGTCCTGTTTTGTTTAACTCCACCTTGCCACGCCTTTATTAAGGACTCATTTTTAATAAAGTTTGGCCTTGTAAGGAGGGCAGATGGAAGGGCTGTCAGTCGTGATTCCTACGTATATCCCACCAATAGTCTCACAACATCCCAGTGGAGGTGCTGCTCCCCCTTTTTTACAGCTGGGGGAACAGGCTTGGAGGTGTCTTAGCTCAGTTAGGAGTGCCAGCTTTTGGTCCTGAGTCTGATGTGAATGTCCTGCTCATTAACTAGGGGATAATATTCTAGAGGGTGGGGCTGGCGTTTAAAATAGATGATCTCCCTTATAAATTTACATTCTCTGTTTCCTCAGCACCTATTGAGTCAACTATTCAGCAGGAAAGGGAAATTGATTTTGCAAAATTTCTAGCCAGTTATAGGGTATTGCATCTGTAAGTGCTGATCGACATTGTTAGCAGATACCATTTTTACCTTTTCCATTATCAGGGTTTAAAAAAAATCACTAAACCATTCTCTCCTGCCCATCCAAAGATTAGTCATGGTGTGTATGTGTGTGTATTTCACCACTTCTCTCAGTGGGGAGGTAATGGGTGTATGTGTGTATATGTGCTGCTGACACAGTGACATTGGCTTTTTTGTTTCTTTGGTTTTTTTATATATTAAAGATGTTCATATATAATGAAGTGCTTAAGAACATGAGCTCCAGAGTCAGGTATGTTGAGGGTAAATTTATTGCACCTCTCTACCTTACTTTTCCCATCTTAAAATGGGCATGACTATTGTGAGGAATAATGAGGCAGTATCTGCAACCACTTAGCCAGTACCCAGCCTGCTGCACACTCTCCAGAGTTGACTGTGGTCCTTCAAGCCTCACCAGGTTGTTGGGTGGCTCTGATAAAGGAAAACAGCTGCCAAGAACTTCGAAAAGGACTTCCTTATTGATTTAAGACAATATTTAAACTGCTTTACACTTCAAAATTTTTTTAACTCTGTGCAGGACTGGATATAGACTTTTTAAAGCATCCACTACATGTTAGTACAGGTAAATTTCAAGGTTAACTTCACTTCTCCTTTTGTAAAATATTGTGTGTTGTGAGTGTAGTTCATTCTTCTCTTGTGTGCTTATTTTGATTAATTGAACTTGGCGTTTGCAGACTCACAAAGCTTCGTTGCCCTGTGTAAAAAGTGGAAATGCTGAATCCTGCTTGGTATGCTGAGCGTATAAAAGGGATTTTAATTTTTAAATATTACCAAGTGTACAGTAAAGCTGGTCTAGTGGTTGACCTTGGTAGCTAGAGGGGGGAAGAAATTATCTTTGGCATCGTTTCCATATGATGTGAGCCAAGTCGTCAAATACTCTGGTTTGTGGTAATAAGTTAAAGGGCTA